TATTAAGGTCACCTATAAATTTCACTAGTGCAAGGGCATAATCAAGTTAAAATTCTAAATTTAGAGTAAAAATATTTTCAACACGCATCGTAGTTTCTGAAAAGTGCTGCGACCCTCTATAGATTCTACCATTTAATTGTTAAAATCAAATTTATATGACCACATTCTGTATTTTTTGCTGGTCAACGGCATTAAATATAGATATGATTAATTCATTTTCAAGATTTCATTGAGTGTATGCCTTTGCACTAGATTGATTTATTAAGACCTTTACATTACCCTCCGATGTACTTGCATACAAATAAACGGCAGTATCAATTAAATAGGAATTAAATAGGAAATACACGGAATATATATGAATAAAATCATAAAGAAGACATTGCATCCAAGTTAATGACCTCTTAAATATCTTTAAATCATATTTTATTTAATTATAGAATACATTTTTTATTGTGAAAATATTTCTTGATCCGCCACTTACCGCATGGAAACTGCGTCAGATTTTACAAAATGACGTCACATCGACAAGAGCATCGCGATCAGTGACTTGTTTAGACCTTGTTATATGGAATTTAACTAAAGACAAAACAACATTTTATAGTAAGTTTTGATGTAGTTTGAATTTTTACTTTAGTTTAAAATAACAAATTATTTCATTTTGTATGATTTTTAAGAATTGTTGGTTTTGTATGATGTTATAGTTAACATTTCCCGTACAAATTAGTCCCCGCCCCCTTTTTGTAGCCTTAACTGTGCTGCGTAGGACGCACATAATGAGTGACCGGTCGACAGCGATGCTTACATTTCCTAGAAATCCTCATTTACACCATTATTAGCAGAAGTACTCCATTATTATATGTATTTATCTTTTTCTTCTTTTTTGTCCTCTTTCACTTTCATTCTCTGTGCAATTATGTATAATTATATCATACACTTGAACCTCTAACCTGAATTTAAAATGCTGTAAATATTTTTCATTGTCCTCATGTACCATATATTTACATGATTTTGAGTGAATAAATGAGCTTGAATTTAGTTTCATTCGCATAGTAATTATCATAAATTTCATTTAAAGTTTACTTTCATTTTCGATAAAAGTCCTTGAAATAGCAAAAAAGAGAGTAAGGTGGTGGTTATGGTTGGTGGATCTAAGTTACTGGCAATTTTTAATTAAACTGACAACAAGCAATCGTTTATTTATTCGTAAAATGTCTTCACTGAATTATTCAATCAATACTTCATTTAAGTTATATAAAAGAAATAAGTTATGATAACAGATTCAAAAGCAAAATGTGCAAATCGTTTTCGTAAATCACCGATCTACAATCTTGACGGAAATTTCCAGAACACATCACAATCGGTAATCCTCATCTGATTCATATACGCTCCATGCCATTCGGGGAGCTCTGAGTGATAACATCACATGGCATATAGTCCGATGATTAAAAAAAAAAAAGGAAAAAAAAAAAAAAACCAGACAATTATTTCAAAAAAGTTTTGATGTGAATGGGCATAGAAATGATCGTAAAGCAAGTGATAACACTATAAGTTGTGAAAATATTTATATATCGAAATATTCTCGTTAATGTAATTATCAGTAAAATGTACATTTGCCGCTAAGGGCATCATGACAACGAACCCGGAGTATAGTTTGTATTTCGGAGTAAACATGCTTACATGAAAAGAGAAAATGTTAATAAATGAATGTGATATTGTTAAAATATACCTAAAGCTTTAAAAAAAAAAAAAAAAAAAAAAAAAAAAAAAAAAAAAAAAAAAAAAATTGTGCTTAATACGTTTCATTTCTTTTTTCTGAATACAGTCTTTTGTAACAAATACTATTCCAATGAAATTAACTCTGAATTAGATGATGTTATCGAAGAAAGTGCATGAAGAAAATGGTTTACCTAAATATCAAAATCAATCCTTAATGGTAATCGTACTTGGAAAATTTGTCAATTGATTATTGTCCCTTTATAGTTGCAACTTTCTTTTTCAATTCTGCAGCATCAACATAGGTCGTTAAAATTTTCTGTCTTGTTATTGTGTATTATTTACTTGAAAAACCCACCACACCCATTTAGAACAGATACTGCTTTTCTTGTTTATTTTATTTTCAGATGAAAACTCATTGTGATCATCTAAATATGACAAGCCTAATCGTTTACAGTACTTCAACACATAGGACTTTGATATTAGAGTATGGACTTAACGAGCAGTTAAGGGAACCTAATATCTAAGTTTCCAACTCGGAAGATTTTGGATCAACGAGAGTTTGTGAAAGCGACATGCAGAATTGTCATGTTAACAATATTTGATATTCGGATATCCAGTGTCCCAATTGGCATGTCTTGGAAAGTGGCATTGACACTTGATTCACTGAACTAGACCGTGATTGGTTAATCATGCGCAGTTTCTGCAGTAGACAATATCTTTCCAACCATACACAATAATGTAGAAGTACAGAATCGTGTACGACTGTCCATTTCTTTTCCAGCTGAGATATGTGTTAACTAGTGAAACAAGAAATAAACAAGTGATTGACCTCTCCACCTTCCAAGGTTATGGCTTTTACCATATTGTGAGATGTTTCTGAACTTTGACCTCTGCACCTCCCAGGGTCAAGGCTTTTACCACAAGTAAGATAATGTTTATGAACTTTGACCTTTGAACTTTGAACCTTGATTTGAGTATTTGATGATGTGAATTGTGCTTGTGTTGTAGGGCCTGCCCATTGTGATTGGCGACCCATTCATTGTGTTGCCAGAGACAACAGTAGTATAATAATGATTGTTAATTCCTGCATCTGGATATATACAACCGTTCCCAATTTTTGCTACAATAAAAGTTTATTTAAATATAATCTTTGTGTTATGCACTTATGCACTTATCTGAGATAATAGGCCTATGCTCAGTGTGTTAACAGCTAATTAAAAAAAATGCTGAAAAATTATCAGTAAAATGTGCATATTGACTTCTTTTATTCTGAAAATGGAATAAGAGTTCCCGAAGCACTGTATCTATAACATAGTAAAAAGGGTATCAAAAATAAGGTTAATTAATGAAAATGTTTATTTTTTCAGGTTTTTCCGGGGAGGGGGTGTATACCTCTGCTCCGAAACAGACTGCAGAATTTAGAACAAAGCATTTCTTCCTGATATAAGCCTGTAATATATGTCAGTAGAAACTATAATATTATATCATTGGATTTGTTCCGTCAGTATACTGGTAAAAATTCACTTCCCCGCAATTGCGCGGAATTTCATCTAGCGTTTCATCTAGTGTTTGATTACTAAGATGAACAAGTGAATTGAAATTGTCATAACACTTCAATGGTGAATCCTTATTACTCGGCTATAATCAAACGATTACGGTACGCAGATTATACTTAAATAAGAAAGGTAATTATTTATTTATAATTGACGATTCGGGGCATATAGAAAATAATGTCCACAGCCGTCACTAATTTCAATTTTCGGATATATTTTGTAAAAATTGTTAAGATATCATATTCCTCAAAATCTCAATGGGCGATCCATGTGCACTTATTGCTTGAAAGAAAATCCGACTGAAAACATGTCTTCTGCATCTTTTGTAAGAAAATAGGGGAAAATGCACAAATTAATGAAGTCAAAATTGGTTAGGAAGTCATGTAAGACAAACGATTAGTAATTAGTATAATCTTACTGCATGGAGTTTGCACAATTCAAAAAGCAAAATAAGTATTCTGGCTCAAAGTCCAAAAACAACAAAAACCGGGAGCAGAGCAAACGCAGGCCTCAAAAACATCAGAGGTGGGGTCAGGTACCATTTCATATTTCAACAGATATATAGGGTCAGATTTGCATTGAAGCCGTATCACCTGTTTTGGTGAAATGATCTACTTTGAAATCCTTTGTTGACTCCGTGTAAGGCTTGAATCAAAAGCATTATTGGTTTTCAAATCAGCATCAATTCATGTTTGTTGATAGCAAATTATTAAAATGTTAACGGTGTTTTGATTTTTATATCAAATCGGGGACCAAATTTGACAGTTGTCAGACTATTATATCGTCTTATGAAGACGACTCCTTCCCTTTGTACAACTCACCGACTTTGAAAAAACTTGAGATTAATATATTTCAAATGTCATTATAGTTTTTCTGAAGCATCAAAACGTAGAAATTAAGTAAAACCCTATGTCAGTTATATACTTTAATCTAAATTTCCAATTGTCAATGGTCTATATTTTTGAATTATAAATACATTTTAGAATATCATTCAGTATCAAAAAAAAAAAAAAAAAAAAAAAAAAAAAAAAGTGTAATTCATGATATCTTCTCAACTTAATAAATGTAGCATATAAAATTTCCCTCTCCCAGTGCTATTAGTCTTTTGTGATCAAAATTACATTTAAATAAAAAACACAACAGATTATAGAATTTATGTATTTCACACATTTAGTAGAGGTATCAATCTTTCTTTAGTGTCCGGCTCAATTTAGCATTCATAATTACATGGAAAAGAATTCCTGATTCGCACATTATCACAGATAAAAAAAAAATGCATTAATAATCTCATCATACCTGATAGGAATAAAAGTAAAACACAAAATAAAAAAAATACAATTCATGTTTTCAATTGGAATTAAATTCCTTTCACTGTTTTTTTTTTTAAAATAAATTCTTTAAAATCCAGATCTACAGCATCAATCCTTCATATAAAAATATAATCTTTAGTTTAATCGGATATCCAATTCTTTCTATCGTGATCGAATTTTTGCAGTAATATGTTTTTCAACGTGATCCCATTTGTTAAAACCTTTTTTTTTTATTTTGCCGAAGTTTGTTATAAAATCAACATATATCATTCTTTTTTCATCTGAAAGAAAAAAAAATCAGATTCAGTTAAAGGCAGTATTTATTTAACTACATTTGTGAAAAAAAATATAATAGGAACAAAACTAAAAGGAAACATTTGTTAATTCAAACTTTGATCAAAAGCTATAGCATCAACTAAAAATGAATAAATCTCAACTGATCGATCTACAGATAAAATTTTGGGAGAAAGTGGTCGATCATGAATTTAAGTTGGGACACGTGATTTCATTCAGAGATTGGTATGGCGAAACAACGTTCTTCATTAAGCTTACCCCATATCTGTGGCTGATACCACTTATAGTCACCGTTACACTCCTTGTTGTCTTCAAGCGAGCTAAGCTATACGGATACACACAAAAGTACTTAGTCGCTATAATGATGATAGACGTTCTTTTCACTCTTTTAACTGGAATTCGGGATGGTATCCTTACATGGCTGGACATGGATTATGGGTATATAGAATACAAAATCTGCCGGTTCGTACTAACATCTTTAAACTTTCAAACTATTCTTCATGGAGCCTCGATTTGGATGAAGTGCTTGATGTCTTTTACTCAATATATATTTATTGCATTTCCTCTGAGTTGTAAGCTTTGGAATCTTAAGAAAATGTTGGTGTTTTTCGCTCTTTTTAATTTGTCTTTAATGTCGTTATTGTTGATACAAGTTTCTGTCACGCCATTGAAAGGAGTATGGACGTTTCAAATTCCTGGCGAAAATTACAAGTCTAAAATTATCAAAGCTTGTTCGTTGGATTTTGAGTCTGTTATATATGAAAGTTTTTTTCCCTTTATTCAAACGTATGGAATGTATTTTTCTGGTATTTATTACTTTGTTTTGCCTACAATTGTTGATATCATTTTGATTTTCTTACTCACATTTTTAATACAAAAAAATATAAAGTTGATGTCTGTTCTTGCACCAACTATAGGAAAAAGAAATAAAGTAAAATACCTCATTTTAATAAAGTTGAATATGATTCTTTGTATTTCGTTTATCCTACAAGAAGTCCCATTGTTTACATATGCCACTATTATATTAAGATCTAATGATTTGTTAGTCTTTCTAGAAGCTCAAGGATTATACAATATCATACTTACAATTTCTTTTGTTATTGGGAAACCTCTAGATTTTGTAATTTATGCATGTTTTAGTAAATCTTTTTGCACGGAATTTTCCAGGCTTTTTCGAAATGTTCAATCATCTGAAAACTCTAGGGATTTGAAAGATACTAAAAGAACCGCCATTAGAAGAACTGTAACTAGTAAAACAAACACGACCGTAATTAAAAATAGTTAGAGCTACAAAGAAAATGATTAACAACACATAAAAGAAGAATTGATATGGGATGATGACAAATCAAATGACTTTTTAATTTTTTTTTTTAAACTTTTATTTTTTCTATTGCTTTTTAGTGTTCACAGTTTAAAAGATAGGTATTAAAAAGAAAAAAAAATACAATCAATGTAGATGTGTATATCTTTGTTTCATTTTGCTTTGAATTACTAATAAATATCTAGATAACGTAAAGCTTTTCCTAAAACATAACTATGTCAGCATATATGTTCTACTAATAATTTAACATTAAGTCATCTCTTTGTTCATGGAAGCAGTATTTGGTTTTTTGTAATGAAACCATAAAAAAAAATTGAATAAATAAAATTAAAAAAAAAATATTGTGTATTCTTTATCGTGAAGACCTACTTTTTCACAAATTACTGACAGGTAAGTTGATTCAACAGGGATTCCAGTAACTTTTAAAGACGGCATTTCGATAATTTTATGGTCGTTAAGATGATATTAAGAGCAAATAAAACCACAACTGAGTCGTGTTTTAGCTGAAATGCTTACTCCTCCTAGGCACCTGCATCAACCTCTGGAATTTCTAGGGGGTCCGTGTTCTATGCCCTTTTACACATTTGTATAGTTTTTGGATATTTATCACTGAGTCATATTTTGTTTCATATCAATTGTAAGGCCTTTGATTTTTTATTTTGAATATTAAATTAAGTAAACGACTATATGTAGTCGTGTACTTAAATAAATAAATATTAAAATAAGAATAACTTCATGACAGAAATACTGGTTTGAACACCTTAGAAATATCCAATGAAATTCGGAATAGAATAATTTTTTATCCATTTCGATAAAAATGACCTAACTTAACACAAAACAGTCCCACCATATACAATTTAAATATTTTATATCTTTTATGTTAATTGTATGCACACGGCTATTTTTACCCAACCAATGTGTTCTTGTTTTATCCAATGCTCATAATGTGTGTATTACGTCGTTATTTATATTTTACTTTGTCGTAATGGCTAGATAGAACACGTGTGGAAATTCCAAACAACCTCCTCTTTATTTACTATTTTATTTACTAACAAAACTTGGTATCAGAAGTGGGATGCTTCAGTGTGATCAAAAGGATCATAGAATTATACACATAACCAATGAGGCTTCTCCATAGGCCATTTGACGTGGCATCCCCGCCACAGTTCAATTTCTTAGCGGCACAGCTACGCAGTTCCGTTAAGGCTGCATAAAGGGGGCGGGGCCTAAGTAATACGTGAAATGTTAGCTGTGACATCACACAAATATTGCAATTCCTCACAATAACAGAAATTGAAATAATTTGCGATCTTAAACTGCATAAGAGTAATTAACTACATCACAACTTACCACTGCATTCATTTTTGTCGCCAGTTAAATCCCACACAGCAAAATAAAAGGAATGCACTTGTCGACATGACGTCATCATGGTAAAATTTGACGCATTTTATGTGCAGTGAGAGGTGGATCAAGTATTTTTTCACAGTGAAAAATGCATTTTATTATGAAACAGAATATTATTCTGCAAATCTTAGGTAGACCATTAATACAAATCTGAAACCTATGTTTGGTGCCATTAACTAAAAACTATTGAGAGAATGTATTGGATTATTTCCAACGTGTTTTTCTGTACAGGGTTAGCATATTTTACGTTGAGGTGCCTCATTAAATCGCCTTTCCCAAGATCATACACTTAATACATATTGACCAATTTTTTGAATAGACATAACGAAAACATTTTTTAACTTTAAAAGTGCTGCTGCTTTCCTGAAATCGAGAGTATAAATTAATAAATACATGTATATAAAATACTTGGTAAGGTCACAAATATTTTAACTGGAGCCAAATAACTTGAAATTTAAACTAATAAAATGCAAATTTTATTTAAAGCAGCAGCACTTTCCATAAACTGCGCATGCAGTTATTTACGAACAATTTATTGCTTTTTTTTAAATTAATCAACTTGGGTACGAGCTTGCAATATTGAAATTTGTGACCTACATACAGTACACAGTATATCCATTTATCAGGGTAAACAATATCATTTTAATTAATATTAAATATTTTAACATAAAATTATTTTGTATATTAAATATATATTAATAATATAGTAGCTTTACAAAAATAAATTCAGTTTAAAAAAGTATGTATTTATGCACGTTTACATTCCGTTGTTTTCTTCGTAGTTCGCCTTATTAGTGCTGCGTATATCAGTGCCAAAGTTTCGCCATAGTAAATATCAGCGCCACAGAAAGATCCTTTCGATCAGAAAGATAAATGTGTAAAATTATATAAACCCCAATTAACCTCCAAATTATATACAGTTTTTCAGTTTCTAATGCTTGCTTGTTTATTTACTCTAATTAGGGCCCATTGTTTGGCTAGCACAACCAATTATCTTCTAGGCCTTGCTGGTCCCTATGAATGAGTTAAAAGATCTAGACAAGCCAGTTAAGCTAATGTTCAAAGGCCACATATAGTCCAGAAGGATCCTTGTCAACAGTAGCAATTCGATCATTCACGGATCGTGGGCCTTTAATTCACGGATATCCTTGAACAATCTCCTGAAAACAATAAAACTGTTTCTACTGAACAGTATATCCTTAATATTTTTCTTTTAGATACAAAATTAAAAGACATCAGGAAAGTAATGAGGTATATTATCCAAACTGACCCCTTCAACGCTGTAATGGAGCTGAAAGCAAAGTACACAAATACTCAAAAAGTTAGCAACGTATTTCGCAAGAAATGTTTAATTATATAAATGTCATTTGACATCAGGTTTTCCTAAATTATTCTTATTTTCAATGGCAATATCAAAATGTCCAACAGATCTAAATAATTTACAGTGACGCTTTGTCCAAACACGAGAAAAAAAAAAAAACCTTGAAAAATTTTCTTCCGAAACGTTCTGAATCCCCACTAGGGATTCGCTTACTAAAAAGAAAAACTGAAATTCACTGTGTCAAGTGATATTTCGTCTCAGATGTTTATTTCTTTTATCAGACCACAACTGGAATACGCTGTTGAAGTTTGGTCTGGATGTACAAAGGCAAGCATTGAAAAGCTTGAGAAAGTTCAATTATTTGCTGCTAGAATAGTAACTGGTCTTACACTTATTGCTTCCAGAATTCATTGTATTTAGAAACTGGTTTGAAACCTTTGGAAAGTAGAAGATATCGAGCTAATCTGGCAACAATGTACACAATATACAATAACGTAGGTATGTTTAGGAGGCACACAGATCAGAATTCGGTGAATTTACACTTTCTTGTAAAATGTAACATCAATAAATTGGAAAAGCCATTAATAAAACATTTACTTTTATTATCCATTGTGTAGACGTCATTGATGCTTCGGTTTAAAGAAGCAATCCATTATGATGTCAGCACTTGACGTTTATAAATAGAAAAATTGCCTTAATGAAAAAAGTGAAAATTTCAACTCTACACCGGAGATAATTCATACAGTACCCGCATCGTTATTCTTTACAGGATACACGATACGATAGGATACACGCACGATACGATAGGATACACGCACGATAGGACAGGATACACGCACGATAGGACAAACGCAAAACACGATAAACGCAAAACACGATAAACGCAAAATGCGATAAACGCAAAACACGATAGATCTGATAAACGATCTTCACGATAGGATAAAAGCAAAACCTGATGGGATTGTTTCAAAATGCGAAACGTTTTTTGACAAGACGAAAAGTTTTCTTTTTGATATACTATAGTATGATAATTTTAATTACTTACAAAGCCGCAAATCGAAATGATGAAACATTTAAATTTACCATGATAAAACATTTGAAGTAATTATGCTTTGTAAAAGATAAGGTGTTTATGTCAATAAAATTGATCGTCATCAAATTCAAACTGTAATTTTTTAAAGAATAATTCCACTCTATGATGGAAATTAAGCAATTTTTTTGTGTAATTATACAGATGTCGAAATTCCTTCGAATCGTTAAAATTCAATTTTTTAGTCCGTAGAAAAGCGAAGTTTTACACCCAAGTGCAATAAATTCACGAAACGCAATAAATATATTTAATTATTTTAACAAATGAAACTTTATGAAATTCATAACAAACATTGATTATTTTAACGGAAAAACATGAAAAAAAAATTTGGATTCAACATCTTTTGCTAGAAGTCTACGAAGTATCCAAAATCGCCTTTAATAGTTTGTATGTAATAATCCAAGTCTTACCAAAAAATTACTAGTCAAAATAAGGGGGGGGGGGTGTGGGGGGGTTGAATAATTATTGTTATAATTATTTTAATGTTAATGCTTTCTCCTCCAAGTTTTTACGAATTTGATTTATATCTTATATAAATTAATTTTTTTTACGTTTTAAAATTGCTGAAATTGCTAGTTGCATTGAGACAGACCGTGCACTGGACTGTGAATAATTAATCTCTCCTATATATAAATATATATGTCACACATATCCCGTGCACATAGAAATTATTTACATATCCCAAGTACATTCCAAGTACATACATTGTATATGTATATATGAGGAGGGAGACCTGCGAAAAAAATCGAATTTAATAAAATTAATAAACGTCACTAGATCTGTCGTCATCTATTATCCGAAAAAAATATCGCATTTCCATTCTTTTGTATTTATTTTGGTATTTTTATAGGCCTGTAAGATTAAGCTAGAAGGGAGCATGCGGTCGTAATAATAAAAAAAAATGTTACAGTGTACCAGCATGTGTAGTATACAATAGTAATATAATGCTTATATAATATTGCCCATCGACAATAATAATGTCTTTAGCCATTTTTGTTTGCTTTTCAAAACATTTCTTTTTAGACCCACCCCCTCCCCCCGGCCGCCCCCAAAGAAATGATATTGCTTTCTTAGCGTGCTTGTGTTACAAGCATTTACAATAACAGAATTTGTATCTACTATAGTTACGTGTAAACTAAGCTTACAATGTATATGAATATATTTATTGGGTACTTAAACTTTGTATTAAATAACATTGAATGGTTATGGTTACGTACACTTGTTTACAACATATTAGAACACACACAAAAAATAAATAATAAATCAATTTCCACAATTTGACAAGTGGATTTTTGGATTGAATAATTGTCAATTATTGCTATTAGACTTTGTAATAATTGTTACAAAACTTGTCTTATATAGGACGACATCGGCAAAATTAGACAAAACTTTGTAAATTATGAAAGTCTTAACCCCATTTGAGGCACAGTCAGAGGGAAAGGGGGGGGGGCATACCCCCCCCCCCCCCAAAAAAAAAAAAAAAGAAAATCCGATTCAAAAAGCCCCCAAAAAAATAAATAAATAAATAAAAATAAAATAAAACAAAAATATATATTGACTTCTTCAATATAGTCACGTATTATATGCAATCGATAAACAGGAATAAAATTAAATACAAGGTATTTACCAGTCTTGTGTATCACCCCAGAACCGGGCGATTTTTTTTTTTCATGTATCTTTGAGACGCCTTTACATGTAACAACGACAGACAACACAGAAAACCGTAAGATCCAGAAGTACCGCAAGCGCATTTTTTTTTTTATTTGATCACACCAATCATGTTTATGACTGAAACCTATAAAAATTACTTAAAAATATACAAATGAACTAAATCAACGAAGTTTGGAGGACAAACCTCGCCTATATTTTATTTGATTCAATTATTCAATTTTTAATCTGTAACGGAAGTGTACATTTACAGATTTTCTTAGTATAAAATCTTTAATTGTTAATTAAGTGTTGTTCATAAAAATTATGAACAATATCCAGAAAATAAATAGATGCATTTCATTGAAACCAAGTAGGGTTCAAGGTAAATTCTTGACACAAGGTGAGAGCTAGAGTTCAGGTATGTCTACGTTGAATACACACGGGCCGGTCATGTAGGGGAAAGGAGGGGGGGGGGGTCTTGACTTGACAAGAAGACAGTGTACTGATTAGGCAGGAAGGTGTCAGTTTTCTTGTCACGGGAGCGCTTCCACCTGTCACTAAGTTACGGTATATATTACTTCATCTCCGCGCCGAAGTAGGTAAGATGTATAATAAAAATTTGTGTGGTTTTGTTTATTTATTTATTTATTTTTTACATCTTCTAAATGCAGTAGTTAAATATGAATGACAAACATCTATATTATAATATATACTTATCAGAGAAAATAATAATACAAAGGAACAACAAA